CCGATGGGAGGAGGCTACCATAGTGGTGAATTGACATCGATTGGGATGATGGATGGAGAGAAATGAATGGATGTGAAAGATGTTTAGGCTGGATAACTGGCACCAGCTGGCAACAGATCGAATGGAGGAAGAAGGAGGGAGGTGGGGGTGAGGTGAATCTGATACCACTGGGGGAATATCCAGGAGGTGGCTGGACCTATCAAGGGGGCCACTGAGACATGGGAGGCACCTCAGAGACGAGTCACGGAGGCCACGGGAGGGCGTGAGATCCTCAGGAGGTGTGCACAGTGGGGGAGGAGACCACCCAGGACCAAGCTCTAAGGAACATCAACATTTACAAATTGGGTGAAGAAAGGGGGGTCCAAAACAGACCGAGAAAGGAGAGCTTTGTGGCTGAGGTGGAGGATGGACAGGGTTCACCTCCCAAAGGGCTTTGGATACCAGGCTGGGGGGAGTGGGGAGCCATGGAGGGAGTTAGAGCAGAGGAATGAGAGGCCTTTAGAAAGGTATCTGTAGTGGATGGGGTGGAAGCCAGACTACAGCCGGCTTGCCCAGGGGTTAAATGTGACCCATGTGACCTGTTGGCTGAATATGTTGACTCCAGCCCACCCCAAGAAGTCTTGGGCCTGCCAGGATGGTGACCCCCATCCCATCCCTCCAACTCCAGACCACACACAGGAAAGGTCATACCATGGTGGACTCAGAGATCATCTCTTACAGCTACCCCCAGTTCCATATGGGGAACTGGGGGTGACAGTAAAAGCAGTCAGTGGAGGAGTTAGGATTAGAACCCAGCTGCTTATGGTGTGTGTGTGTGCGTGTGTGTACATATTTTAGTAAGAAAGCCCCCTTCATATAGGTTCCTCACTTCACTCAGGCCTCTGCTCAGATATCCCTCTCCAGAGAGGCCTCCCTGGACCACTTCATCTAAAAGAATTGCTCCCCATCCTCTTACTCTGAGTATTAGTGCCCTGTAGCTGCTGTAACAGATTTCCGTGAGCTGGATGGCTTAAAACAACACAATTTATTAGCTCTTGGATTTGCAGGCCAGAAGTCTGCAATCCAGGTGTCGGCAGGGCCACACTCCTTCTGAAAGCTCTAGGGGAGGATCCTTCCTTGTCTCTTCCAGCTTCTGGGGGCTCCAGGTGTTCTTTGGCTTGTGGCCGCATCACCCCAATCCCTGCCTCTGTCTTCACACGGCCTTCTCTTCTGTGTGCCAGATCTCCCTCTGCCTCTCTCTCACTCTCTTTCTTTGGCTGAGCTACAATGGCTTACGGAATCTTAGTTCCCTGATCAGGGATTGAACCCAGGTCCTCGGCTCCCTCTGCCTCTCTCTTAGAGGGACACTTGTGATTCCAGTTAGGACCCACCTGGACAATCCAGAATCATCTCCCCATCTCTAGATCCTTACCTTAATCCCACCTGCAAAGATTTTTCCATATAAGGCCACAGGTTCTAGGGATTAGAATGGGATGTCAATGGGGGGGGCAATACTCAGCCACTCCCCCATCCCCACTTTACCTTCTTCAGAACATGTAGCCTTTCTGTGGTGTCCTAGCATGTCTGTTGGTGGTCACCACCCCTAAGGGACAAGGCCATGTCTGTCCTGCCATCATTACATCCCCATGCCTAGAACAGAGTCAGACACATAGCAGGGGCTCAGAAATGATTTGCCAACTGAATGCTGAAGAGAAGCACGTAGAACCCTTAGTGGAAGCCAGAGGAAGGTCACAATTCTTCGTAGTAACCGCTAGCTGGCTTCCCCGATATTGCTGGCGAAGATCATCATCCATCACTAAATTGGTAAAGAAATAAATACCCATGGCTACTTCCTGTGGCGTGTGTCACCTAGAGCTGCCCATGGGAGAGGCAGCCCAATTGCACATCAGTGGTCTTAGTTCAGAGCATATGCCTGGGACTCGTGACTTGGAGCTCTCTGTGTTTCATTTTGGAAGGTTGCTTACTCCCTCCCCCTCCCCCTCCCCTTCCAGCCCTCCAGAGGGCATATTGCCTACACCAGGCTTTCTGTATTTAAAAAAGATTTTAACTGTGGTAAAATACATTTTAGCCATTTAAGTGTATAGTTCAGTGGTATTAAGGGCATTCACATTGCTGTGCAACCATCACTACCATCCATCTCCAGAACTTTTCCATCTTCCCCAGCTAAAACCCTGTATCTGTTAACATTAACTCACCATTTCCCCCTCCCCCAGACCCTGGCAACCACCATCCTCCTTTCTGTGTCTATGAATGTGACCAGTCCAGGGACCTCATATAAGTGGAATCATACAGTATTTGTCCTTTTGTGTCTGGCTTATTTCATCTAGCATAATGTCATCAAGGTTCATCGGTGTTGTAGCAGGTGTTGTAGCAGGTGTTACAATTTCCTTCCTTTTTAAGGCTGCATAATATTCTGCTGTATGAATGGACCACATTTTGTTTATCCATTTTTTCACTGATGGATGCTTGGGTTGCTTTCACTTTTTGGCTATTGCGAATAGTTCCACCATGAACATGAGTGTACAAATATCTGTCTGAGTCCCTCCCTGCTTTCATTTCTTTTGGGGATCTACCCAGAAGTGGGATTGCTAGAACATATGGTAATTCTATGTTTACTTTTTTGAGGGACCACCATACTGTTCTCTGGAGCACGGCTGCACCATTTTACATTCACTCCTGCAATGCATAGGTTTCCAGTTTCTCCACCTCCTTGCCAACACTTGTTATTTTCTTACTTTCTTTCTTTAATAGTAGCCATCCTAATGAGTCGTCATGTCATCTGCCTTGTAAGTCAGACCATTCCAATGGGGTCCTCCACATTTGGTAATGACCCATCCACCTGCTTTCCCAGGACACAGCAACCAATAGAAACTTCACCTCTGCCTGGATGATGTGGTTGGACTTTGGCTGGTGGAAGAGCCAGTGGGTTGGAGGCCCTGGGACGGGGCACCCCTGGCAGGGGTGGGTGGGTGTTGAGGACACAGGCGAGGACCTGCAGTGCAGGGTTTCTTTAGCTCTGTTGTCCAAGGAGGTGGGAGCACAGAGGGAACCCTTGGCTCATAGGACTGAGTGGAAAAGATTGATGAGAGCAGGACCTGAGCATTTTCAGCAGTCTCCTTGGTGTTGTCTGAGATCCATGGGCCCTCAAATTGATTGAGGTTGGCCTTGGTGGGGGTTCAGGGGACCCCTGCCAGCTCCCAACTCCCGTGAGTTGGAGGCACTGAGCTTGAATTGTCTTGAAAATGAAGAGAATGATGGGACCTGCCTTCAAGGATTGCTTTAAGATTCCATGAAATGAGGCACCACCCTGATGGTGGTGCATGGCAGGTAGTAAGTGCTCTACACCTGGTCACTGTGTTATTAGTATTATTGGTACACACCCACTCTGTTTTGGTTCCTTCAGGAGCTGACGCTAGGGCAAGGATTTGAGTGCAAGTAGTTTATGTGGGAAGTGATCACAGAAAAGACCAATAAGGGAGAAGGCAGTGAACCTAAAAGAACTGAAAACAGGGACTCAAACAAATACATATACATGCCTGGTCATAGCAGCACATTTCATAGTAGTCAAAAGGTGGAAACAACCCAAATGTCCTATAGATGAATGGATAAACAAAATGTGATAAATTCTTACAATGGACTATTACTGAGCAGTATAAGAAATGAAGCACTGATACACGCTGCAAAGTGGATGAACCTTGAAAACATCATTCTGAGTGAAGGAAGCCACAAAAGACATGAAAAGTCGCTGCGTATGATTCCCTTTATATGAAATGTCCAGAACAGGCAAATCTGTAGAGACAGAAAAAAGATTAGCGGTTTCCAGGGGTGGGGGGGAGGGGGGAGTGGACTGCTAAATGGAGACGGGTTCTCCCTTTGGGGTGATGGAAATGTTTTGGAACTGGATAGAAGTGGTGGTTGCACAGCATCGTGAATGTATTTATGCCACTGGACCGCTCACTTTAAAATGCTTCATTTTATATCATGTGACTTTTAGCTCAATTAAAAAAAGAAGGAAGAGGAGGAGAAGAAGAAGAAGAAGGAGGAGGAGGAGGAGGAGGGGGAGAAGGAGGAGG